AACAAGTGCATCGCTTCTAGTAACAAGTGCCTTACTAGTAGTAACAAGAAGCTACTAGGAACAAGTGCATCGCTTCTAGTAACAAGTGCCTTACTGGAAATAACAAGAAGCTACTAGTAACAAGTGCATCGCTTCTAGTAACAAGTGCCTTACTAGTAGTAACAAGAAGCTACTAGGAACAAGTGCATCGCTTCTAGTAACAAGTGCCTTACTAGTAGTAACAAGAAGCTACTAGTAACAGGTGCATCGCTTCTAGTAACAAGTGGCTTACCGTTCCTTGCAAATTGGACAACCTCGGTCGGGATCCTTGAACTCGCTCTGTGCTAGGGAAAGGACGCGATAGCAGGACATTGAACACAATGTCTGCCCAACTATCTCCTGGCCGTGTACTCTGAGCAGTCGTTTCCGGTGTGACCTCTGGCCATGAATTGAGATGCTTCACTTGTATCACCAACATATGAATCTCTTGAGGACACGACAGAATGCCGAAGCTCTCAATTCCATGTTTCCTTCGAAGCTCTGTTCGTCCTTCAAGGCGCTGCTCGGCCATCGGAGTGCGCTCCATTCGCTCCAGTTCTCGGTCTCGCACGAAACATAGCGCCATCCTTTCTGCCATTTGCTGGTTCCTTCTGTCTCTCGACGTACGACATCATGTAACAAGAAGCTACTAGGAACAAGCGACATCATGTGATTGATTTTGGACTTCAGGCCTGCTAACTTTGCTTGCACGCCTAGTCTTTGGTCTCTCCCATTGCATCTGGATCCGTCTCCGCCTTCTTGAACTCTTGAAGCTCTGCTACGTTCGCATGGAATGCCGCTTCTCCGAGGTTGGAACTTCCACGCTTGAAACTTCTCTTCCTTGGCTCGAATGAAGTCCTTGACTTTCGCTCCTTGTTTAATGCTTTCTGCTTCATTCGGAGTACTTCTCTGCTCTGTCGGGACTGGTTCTTCTCCTTTCACCCGTTCTATGCCGATGAAGAAGAAGTACCATTTCCAATGTCCACAGGCTTTCTTCGGCTTTCCGATGTTCTTCTTTTGCAACTGCTTTGCTCTTCCAATCTTTCTCCTTTTCTCCTGGGCCAGCTTCCCCAATCTCCGTATGATGGGTGCCCACCCGTCGTTCCATCTCCCTTGGTTCTGCCTTTCCATGACGTATCCGAAGATGTCAGGCTGGAATCCGTCTCCTCCTCGGGCGATTGTTGCTTCTCAAGACGAGCTTCGGGCAGCGACCTGATGGAAAAAATTTGGTTTTGAGTGACGTCTCTCTAGAAAGTCCTTGCAGGAGGCCATGGCCAGTAGGTTGGAGGCCATCGCTCTTAGGTTAGTGTGCCTTGTTTGCCTCTTGTTATTTGGGTGAGCTTCCTACCCACCTTGTGCAGAAAGCTGAAGGCGCCTTGCTGGGGTGCTCTCTCGCCCTTCTGTGTCAGGGACTCTTTGTCTTTGCTATCAAGCTCTGGGGCACAGCTGTGAGTTGGCCGCCACAGCTGCTTGAGCCCACAAAGGACATGTGGAAAAGGACATGGACAAACAAAAGAACCGCTTCTGAAGTGCGTTCAAGCTACATGTCAAAGCAAGAGAGGAAAAACAGACGGAAACTTAAACCGAGCACTTTTGTCTCCCTTCTTTCCGCTCACAAAAGGGGGCAGCGCAACAGCGTAACAGCAGCCTCCAGGACAACATGGGTAGAGGCGAATCCCGTAGTGCAAAGCTGAATCGAGGCAACAGGGATTCGCAACAGGTTTGCTGCAGGGGTTTTGCGAGCATCATTAATTATGAACCTTGTTGAGACACTTGTTTGATTCAGGGAGGTATGTAGTGGGCATACGGGGAAATGAGGAAAGAACAGCTCAGCGTGAGGCCCTGCTGCGAGATGTGGTGAGGACAAGGTGTTCATGGAATCCACTTTTTGGCGAGCCAGCTTCTCGTCCAAATTAAGTGACTGTTGGTGGAAGAGAGTGTTGCTTCTGGGTTGGTAGCAAAAGCGCATCAAGAATCTTTAGAAAACTTCAAAGACACCCTAGTAGCTTTTGGCCACTAGTATCTTTAAAGACATACTAAAAAGCTTCTTGTTACAGGTGAAACAATTCCCAAGCAAAAATCAGAACTTTACAAAACAAGTAGTACTAAATGTGCCTGCCTGCTTAGTCAGGAAGAACTCTTGTGTCTGAGGCAAAGATTACCACTGTCGACAAGTACCAAGGGCAGCAGAATGATTTCATCATCGCTGCTTTGCAGAAAACACAGCTTGCTTAGAATAAATTGGAGGCCTTCGGTTTTCGGTTGGAGGCCATCATTCTTAGGTTGGAGGCCATTCCGATTAGGTTCCTTTTGCTACTAGTCTGGAGGCCATGGCTATTAAATTGGAGGCCATTGCTATTAGGTTGGAGGCCATTGCTGTTCGGTTGGAGGCCATTGCTATTAGGTTGGAGGCCATCGCTATTCGGTTGGAGGCTATCGCTATTCGGTTGGAGGCCATCAGTCTTAGGTTGGAGGCCATTCCTATTAGGTTCCTTTTGCTATTAGGCTGGAGGCCATCGCTGTTAAATTGGAGGCCATTGCTATTAGATCGGAGGCCATCGCTATTCGGTTGGAGGCCATTGCATTAGGTGGGAGGCCATCGCTATTCGGTTGGAGGCCATCGCTATTCGGTTGGAGGCCATCATTCTTAGGTTGGAGGCCATTCGCTTTGCTCAATGATTCATCCGCTTTGGGTGTCCAACCGGTCCAAAGTTTGCACGTATTTTAGAAAACTTGCTGCTGATGCAGCGCATGCAGTGCTCCACTGATTTCTATCTCATGGTGTGATATTCATGGTGGTTCCCATTGCCCCATGCTGAAACAGTTCCTGAAGGGGAACACACCTTTACGTGTTCTGGTTGATATCCTCCAGGTTTCCCTTGTTCGAACACAGCATGTGGGCCATCTTCGAGATGTTCGACGCTTGGTCGTCACCATGAGCCGTGCACGCTTTGGGCTCTATGTCTTTGGCAGGAAACTTGTCAGCATAAACTCGGAGTTTTGCCGAATGTTGCAGCCTTCAAACCTCACAAAATGAACACATGTTGTTTTCCAAGTCGTAAGTGTGACAAGCGTTTAGTTCTTATGATTTTGAATAATGATGCAATATAGAGGGAAAGCGGAAAGCGTGCACAATTCTCGTTTTGAATATTGAAGTCACATGTTTGCTTGGCCACTGATTTTTCCAGCAGGGGACAAGCCTGTGTGCGTAGCTGATTGCCCAGCAAAGAGGCACATGCCACGCTGACGCAGATGTGCTTTCGATAGCCTGGGTCGGAATCTCCGTTCGTCAAACTGTTTTTGGACAGCTAGGCGCTGCTTGCATTATCACTTGCCTTACCACAATCCTGGGACTCAGGTCCTTGATACTCGCTTTGGCCTCTTCGATTGACACCCCACCGCTGTCACTGTACGTGATCCCTGTGTGCGTGTCAAGAATGGTACCATCGCACCCGGCACCCCCTTTCTGCGCGTGCAAGTTGTGAGCACTGCATGGTGGAAACTGCGCAGGTGCGGGTGTTTTTCCCGAATGCGTAGCGAAGGGTTCTCGTTTAACTCTGGGGGTCTGGGGGTAGAGTCTTGTTCGCGATCCGTTGTTTCTATGTTCGCAACCGTCCGCAACCGTTCGCAACCGTTCGCAACCGTCCGCAACCGTCCGCAACCGTTCGCAACCGTCCGCAACCGTTCGCAGTAGGACGCTAAGGCGCTGCCATTGGGGGAAGCTTTTGCAAGTGACTTTTCATGGATGTGTCACGTGTCAGTTTGCGACGCGATTCCATTGTGATTTGCATGAAAATGACATGTCGCACAAGAAGCGTGATGCATTTCGCTGCACAGGCGCAGTGGTTTGAGAGATCCGCAGCTTACTGCGCAGTTCCATTGGGATTAGCGTTTGGGAGTCGTGTTTTTGGGGTGTTGGATGTGGCCGTGCCATTGGGATTTGCTTTTCAGGGTGTGGCATCGAAGCTCTGTTTTCGTGACAAGTCTCAGCTGAAATGGCGATTTTCGTGGATGGGAGTGTGCTCCGAACGGGTCGAAATCATTCTAAACGTGTGGTGTGGTGCGAATTTTGTTGAAGCTCATGTGAGATGATATTCTCACTTTTCGTGGCAGGCACAGTACTTTGTGCTGATTTTGAGGTGTGGAAGTGCGATTTTCGTGGCAGGCGCAGGAAATCGTGAGGTTGCGAGGTGTGAGGGAGGTGACATTTCGTGGCAGGCGCAGTACTTTGTGCGCGTTAGACGTGTGGATGCGGAGAGATTCGTGGCAGGCGCAGGGAATCGTGAGGTCGTGAGTTGTGGTAGAGGTGAATGTCGCTGTCACATTGGGATTGGCGTGTGAGCGGGTGTTGTTTGGAGGGGCTGGACTCGCGAAACTGCTTGGCAGGGCTGCGTGATGTGTGTGCTCCGATGGGTGTTTCCGCTTGACTTTTGGAGGAAGTCTCGTACGAAATCCTCGTTTTGCAGACTTTGACATGTGAGTTTTGGAGGAAGTCTCGTACGAAACGCTCGTTTTGGAGACTTGACACGTGACTTTTGGAGGAAGTCTCGTACGAAACGCTCGTTTTGGAGACTTGACACGTGACTTTTGGAGGAAGTCTCGTACGAAACGCTCGTTTTGGAGACTTGACGTGTGACTTTTGGAGGAAGTCTCGTACGAAGCGCTCGTTTTGGAGACTTGACGCGTGACTTTTGGAGAAAGTCTCGAACGAAACGCTCGTCTTGCGCAGCCTCGAAGCGTGACTTTTGGAGGACGTCTCGTACGAAACGCTCGCAGGACTGCTTCTAGTGTGCCACAAGAGTGTCCCACAAGAGTGTCCTACAAGAGTATCCTACAAGAGTGTCCCACAGAGCGTCCCACAAGAGTGTCCTACAAGTGTGTCCTACAAGAGTGTCCCACAAGAGTGTCCCACAAGAGTGTCCTATAAGAGTGTCCCACAAGAGTGTCCTACAAGAGTGTCCCACAAGAGTTTCCTACAAGAGTGTCCCACAAGAGTGTCCCACAAGAGTTTCCTACAAGAGTGTCACACCAGAGTGTCCCACAAGAGTGTCCCACAAAATTGTCCCACAAGAGTGTCCTACAGGAATGTCCTACAAGAGTGTCCCACAAGAGTGCCCCACAAGAGTGTCCTGCAAGAGTGTCTCACAAGAGTGTCCCACAACAATGTCCGACAAGAGTGTCCCATAAGAGTGTGTCCTATAAGAGTGTCCCACAAGAATGTCTGGCAAGAGTGTCCCATAAGAGTGACCCACAAGAGTGTCCTATGAGAGTGTCCCACAAGGAGTGTCCTACAAGAGTGTCGTGGAAGAGTGACCCACAAGAGTGTCCCGGAAGCGTGTCCTACAAGAGTGTCTACAAGAGTGTCCCACAAGAGTGTCCCAGAAGAGTGTCCTACAAGAGTGTCCTACAAGAGTGTCCTACAAGAGTGTCCCACAAGAGTGTCCCACAAGAGTGCCCGGAACAGTGTCCCACAAGAGTGTCCTGCAAGTGACCCACAGAGTGTCCCACAAGAGTGTCCCAGAAGAGTGTCCCACAAGAGCGTCCTATAAGAGTGTCCCGCAAGAGTGTCCTACAAGAGTGTCCCACAAGAGTTTCCTACAAGAGTGTCCCACAAGAGTGTCCCACAAGAGTGTCCTACAAGAGTGTCCCGCAAGAGTGTCCCACAAGAGTGTCCCATAAGAGCGTCCCACAAGAGTGTCTCACAAGAGTGTCTCACAAGAGTGTCCCTTAAGAGTGCCCTACAAGAGTTTCCTGCAAGAGTGTCCCACAAGAGTGTCCTACAAGAGTGTCCTACAAGAGTGTCCCACAAGAGTGTTCCAGAAGACTGTCCTACAAGAGTGTCCCAGAAGAGTGTCCCAGAAGAGTGTCCTTCAAGAGTGTCCCACAAGAGTGTCCCACAAGATTGTCCCACAAACGTGTCCGACAAGAGTGTCCTATGAGAGTGTCCCACAAGAGTGACCCACAAGAGTGTCCCATAAGAGTGTCCCACAAGAGTGTCCTACAAGAGTGTCCCATGTCCCACAAGAGTTTCCTACAAGACTGTCACACAAGAGTGTCCTACAAGAGTATCCCATAAGAGTGTCCTACAAGAGCGTCCCACAAGAGTTTCCTACAAGAGTGTCACACAAGAGTGTCCCACAAGAGTGTCCTACAAGAGTATCCCACAAGAGTATCCCACAAGAGTGTCCCACAAGAGTGTCCTACAAGAGTGTCCCACAAGAGTGTCCCACAAGAGTATCCCACAAGAGTTTCCTACAAGAGTGTCCCACAAGGAGTGTCCTACAAGAGTGTCGTGTAAGAGTGACCCACAAGAGTGTCCTACAAGAGTGTCTCACAAGAGAGTGTCCCATAAGAGTGCCCGACAAGAGTGTCCTACAAGAGTGTCCCACGAGAGTGTCCTACAAGAGTGTCCCACAAGAGTGCCTTTCAGGAGTGTCCTACAAGAGTGTCCTGTAAGAGTGTTCCACAAGAGTGTCCTACAAGAGTGACCCACAAGAGTATCCTACAAGAGTGTCCCAGAAGAGTGTCCCACAAGAGTGTCCTACAAGAGTGTCATTTGGACATATGTAGCTTTTCGAACGTGTTTGCATTCGGGTTCGTGGGCTCCATCTTGTTTTTTCTGTATTAGGTTGGAGGCCATCGCTTTTGACAGCGTTCTTAGAAAGTATTGCATTTCTATCTATTGCTGGTGCAAATGCCTTTGCTGTGGCTGCACTGTGGATGGCGCGTGTCTTCTCGAATTTGCCTTTTGGATGTAGTTGGATCTGGTAATTCTCCCATATTACTGGCTTGGGGATCTCTTCCCGCTTGCTGACAAAAGCTGGAACGTTCATGCTTCATGCAGACAGACATGGGTTCTCATTCCTTTCCCCTATACAAAAATACTCTGAATTGCATGGTTGACATGCGCGTGTGCATAATCTGTTTGCAACATATTTGCACTCAACATGTTTCAATGGTGTTTTTT